AACATGGGACAGCCCCTTCAGCATCACACAAGCCAAACTGCTCTCATACCAGGCTGAGCTGATAGGCAGGGAGACAGTAGAAGAACAAAGATGTAGGGGTGTCAACAGCCTCCAAAACCTTCCTGTAAAGCTGTGGCAGATGCATCTTATCCAGACTTGCTAGGGCTTTACAGTATATACATTCCGATGTTTCCCTTTTGACCTTTTGATCAATTAATTTATTTAGATTCTCATTCTTCCCCGGGCATCCATACAAGCTTTAACTTCTTTCCTAAAAGACATCCAGCAGGGAACTTGTGCTGATCAGCTACTCCCTGCATGAGTATATTTATAAAAACAACAGTCTAAATGATTGTTATGTCTTCTTCTTGAGTTTTCCTTTTTCTTACTGCTTTCCCTTTCTCTTGCCAGACTTATGTTTAAAATGCCACTTAAGGACAATCATTTTGTTTCAAGTATATATAGAGTCCTACTACTATGAAGAACTTGAGATGAACTGCCCCCAGTTCATCTCACAGTTCAGCTGCAAGCTTGCAAGTTCCTCACAACTGCAAAGTAACAGTCAGACATTAAGGGACTTATAATTTTTAAGATCCCTAGGGAAAGTGGGAATGTACTGACACTTTTCTTCCATGGTAGGATGTATTCCAGCTCTTCAGCACACTAAAGTAGACTCTACCCTGTAATGCTGCACCTCAAACTATCTCATCTCCCTGAACAAGGAGGCCCAGTATACTCCGTACTACTTGTCCCCATGGTTCCCACAAACATGCTGATCAAGAAACTACTCCTCTTCCAGACAGTACTCCAATCTAATATATAATGCTTTACAAACAGAGATATATCACTGCTATCTCAGTACCATAGGGCTTGCACTGTATTTCAAGCGGATGAATCTCACAGCATTCACAAAGCTCTGCAGCAAACACCCCATGCATTGCTTATTTGCAGTTTCAACCTCATCTTCCTCCCACTGTTTGGTTCATACAGAAGCAGAGATCCTTGCAAAGCAGAGGGGACTATGCAACAAGGAGAAATTGAGCCATCAACAGTTTACAGATTGTGTTTCCACCCCTGGGGCAAACAGTTCCAGGTATACTGAACCATGACAGAGCCCCAGCCTCCACATACCCAGTTCTCAGTACACTGCTACACCACAGCTTGCCTGAGGCATCCCAGTACTTACAAAGCTCTGTGCATTTACAAAGCCACTTCAGCTTTGGCTTGAACCTCAGAACAAAGGGAAGCAAAGAGCAGAAAGAGGATGAAACAAAAACCCATATATACAGTAAGGATTAATTTGTTCTACCAATGTAGTATTATATTTATCTTGCCATCTAAACGATTTTTCATATAATTAAAGTTCAGTATGATATTTTTTCAACTTTTTTTAATTTTTAATCTGTTCCAGGAGATACTGTAATGTCTAGTTTATACAGTGTGATATAAACATTCTTATCAAAACATCTAAAATAGCTTAGCTAAATAAAATTGAACCAAACAGCCTCTTCTGTGTTCCTTATAGGCAGAAAACTCATGGAAAATCTTCTTTGTATTTTCAGAGCTACAGTGAGGAGATTCAAGGACCACCATTGGGCTATTTGGTCTGTAATCTTACAGTATCACAGCAGAGCTCACACTGCAGGGTGCAGTCAACAGACAGATAGAACAGCCAAGACTTAACAAACTCACAATCCTAATCAATGGTGGTAAATTTGGTGAATGAATATTATCTCAATGAAGTTACTTTAAATATCACAGTACTGCATAGCAAAGCACTGGTAGGGAACCTGCTTTGGCAGGGGGGTTGGACTCAGCGATCTCTGGAGGTCCCTTCCAACCCCTACAATTCTGTGATTCTGTGAAACTGGGGATGAAAGACCACTGTATTTATAGCTGTGCTTTAGTATCCATAAATCACAGAGTCATAGAATGGCCTGGGATGAAAAGGACCTCAAAGATCATCGAGTTTCAACCCCCTGCTCTTTGCAGGGTTGCCAACCACCAGACCAGGCTGCCCAGAGCCACATCCAGCCTGGCCTTGAATGCCTCCAGGGATGGGGCATCCACAGCCTCCTTGGGCAACCTGTTTAGTGTGTCACCACACCCTGAGTGAAAACCTTCCTCCTAATACCTAATTTAGATCTCCCCTGCCTTTGTTTAAGACCATTCCCCTTTGTCCTGTCACTATTCACTCATGTAAACAGTCGTTTATAATTAGTTTATAGGAAGAATAAAAAGAACAACAAACCTCCCAAAAAAAACAGTGGAGGTGCATAGCATTTATAGAACACTGTGGGGAGAAGTAAACACTTTACCTGTTTCCTTGGTTTGACTCAAGTAGTAACAATCACAAGAATATCTTCATGTAACAAGGTAAAAAGTTTGTTCTGGGGGTTATTGCTGGAAAAACAACACCGAACACTTTGAAAGTGGCAGTATAGCTGGATCTATTGTATTTACAGCAATGTCTTGGAAATAGCAGTAGAAAACTCAAGTACCTCACTGCTTTGAAAGAGAGCTACAAAAATACCAATGTTTTAACTCAGATTTTATCAGCTCTGAAAATACTGACTCAACTGTTGATCTTTTAGCCTTAGCTACTCTGAGGTATGAAAAGCCCATCTGGATTGATTTAGCTTTGGTCTCCTGAAACAAGTACTGCCTCTGTACACATAGTGATGTATTTATATTATGAAGGCCTACGCAACTGAAAAACAGTTCTATAATCAAGTGATATAAATAGTGCTGATGCACTGGGTACATTAAAGATCTCTATACCAGCACTGTTTACTCAAAATTAAAGACACTCACTGAAGTAGCACATAGCATTTTCACAACACAAAGTCTGAATAATTTTTTTTTTCAAATGCTCTCTCAGATCAGCTCCATTAACCACTTGCTAGTGTATCACTACATAAGAAACTCCAGATCAAACATTTCTCAATGACGATGGCATATTTGAGAACTAAAAAAATCTTACATCTGTAATTATGGTATTTTTCTCACAAAGTTAAGCATGAATTAAATTGCAAGATCCAAAATAAGCCTTAAAAGCTCTGCACTACACTGCCACACTATGGTACAATCAAGATCTGCAAGCGAGAATATAACAAAAAGAGAATAAAAATAACTTCTATAATTATCTGAGATGAAGTACCTACCATCTGTTATCTTTATCTACTACAACTCCAAAGCACTAAAAACAAACTTGTGCCTTGTTCAGCATCAGCTACCTAGGTAAATTATACTTATGGATTTTGCTTCGGTAATGTTTTTCAAAAACGAAAAAAGTTTAACTTCTGCAAGTGTTAAAACATGTAGGAAAGTTGATACCAGGAGCATTCTTTACTTTGCTGGCTGCAAAACATAGAGGTTTTTGTTCTCTACAATACTATGTGATCTGAAAGGTTTTCTGTTGACGGCCAGAGAAAAGAAAGGTTCAAAGACATTCTTTAAGTATTTTTTGAGGTATTCAAGGCAATGCTACAGAATTTTAGCATCTACATCGAACACATCAATGATTTGCTTTGTTGCTAAAATATAACTCATTTTAGACTTGCAAACTTTTCAATATATTTAACATGGTACAAATAGGAAAATTTTCCTAAATACTTCTAAGTTTAAAAAGACTTTATTTTTGCTGACCTTGAAGCACAGTAACACAAGAGGACTGAAATTTCACATGCAGCTTTTTAAATGCACAGCTCATGAGTCAAAGCATAAATTATTTTAATTACTTTGCCATTTACATAATTTATACCTTCCATAGCATTTGTTTTTCAAGAAAGCTATAAGTCAACTTCGTATGACCATTACCAGCACTACTTTATTCATTCTAACATTCCATTTTTTAAGTGTTTTTCTAATAAATCAAACATTATACATAAGCAATTGGCTGACGCCAAGACCATACCAATTATTTTACCTGTAAGAACTTGCCATTATAAACATTTCCCACAAGGCATAATAAAATACTTGCCTGGTGCCACAATACTCACAGGAATATCCTGAACTGAAGTATATTAAATAAAGATTAGATGGCTAGCTGGAATTTCATCTATTCCACCCCTTTCTTAATTGCTATTGTCACCATTTCAGTTTACAAGAAATGGTACAGTCTAGATACATACCAGTTCCTTTCCATTAGGATGGCTCACTCAAGTTTTTAAACTCCAAATTATGCACCTTTCATCTCCAAACATTTCCAGTCACAGAAAGATGACTGCTCAAGCCATTAATGAACAAGGATTGTCTTAAGAAAAGTTCCAGTCCTTCAACTAACACATGCAAGGGCCTCCTGAGCATTCCTGATCAGGATCAACCCAAATAAATTCTATCCTCACATTTGGCAACAAATCTGTAGGCTATCCTCTGTGACTTGTGATTGGCAGGGGAGGAATATAGTCAACCTGAGAGACACTGAAGGAAGACAATTTATGGAGAGTGCATTCTTAACAGTTTTAATGGTTAGTTGTTGCCCAGGAATCATGCTGAACTGTATATGGAACTCCTCCCTTAAATCTGACACCATCCATTCTGAATAATCCTGCTTTTAACTGCACCCAAAGATTTATCAGCGGATACTGGCATTTCTGATATTCTGTCCATTTTAGGTACAAAAATCTATTTTCCTTTCCCAGATGAAAGCAGACATCTTCTTCAATTAGTCATTCAGGTACCACAGCTAAGTATTTAAAATTAGATAGCCTTCTTTAAAACATGTATTTTATATGAATTATAAAGATTTAAGATGAAGTTAAATTGACTACTGAAAAATGTTATTTCTTACTACCATATCTTCCCTTACAGCCTACTCTTCTTTGAAGGATATTGTATTCCATATCAGATTAATTGGAGTTCTGTCACACGGAAAAAGATTAGTTACGTTTAATGGCCTTTTTAGCACTGCAGAGTTATATCTTCCTGAGAACAATCAAAATCATGCTTCACTGCTTCATCAGGCATCCCATTCTAAGAAACTACAAGAAATGTCATACCTTCCTGAACTTTTCCATCTGCTTATAAAGATCTGGATCCAGCTCCTGAGACACATCTTTCATCCAAAGCAGAGCTCCTCTGTATTCAGTTCGATACTGTTCCATGCGATTTACTGTCAGCCACGTGTCTGATATGGCCCTATATCTGAATGTCTCCACTTCTTGATATAACCTAGTCAAAGGAGCACGCAGTGCTAATCTGGGGAAGACATGAAGAAATGAGGGGAAGGAAGTCATTCTGCAAAAGCACACAAATTAATATAATTACTGATACTTTGCTAGTAATCAAAAGACAGAAATAAAAAAGAATTCACTCAATTTTTACTCTGTGTTCAGATATTTGAACAGATTGGTTGGGAATATACACAAAATTGATAGTTTTGTATACATACTGTGTTTCCAGTTCTCCTAGTCAAGTAGCAGCCTTTCATAGTTTCCTTCACTTACTCATGCAAGTGGAAAAGAAACTTTGGTTAATGTGTATATTTTATTTAGCTAAAATGCTTTTATTTACTTTTTTAACTTTCCTCTTAGCAAGTTGCATTTAACAAGTGCAAGAATATACCTGAAGTCATTTTTATTACTGGATACATACCACAGATGCATCAAGATAGTCATGTCAAGCTTCAGAAAAAGCATTTCTATTAGCCTTTAATCTTCATATATACATGTAAACAAAGAAGTAATCAGTCAGGTGCCTAACTAACTGATTCATTTTTCTTTATTTTGAGGAATCCAAACAATTCTTTTGAAGGATATTTATCTTTGGGAAGATTTTAGGGATTTTCTTAAATGTTTGTTTCAGATACTACACTTTGGAGAGGCAGCAGGGGACACTGTTGTCTTCCCTATGCCATCACTTCAGCTCCTAATGGGACAGAATTACTCCAACTTTTGCCATGTTTCCATCTGCTGCTTCTGCTTTCCTGTTTCTTGCCAGCAGCCACCTCGCTGGAAAGGGTTCAATCAGTTCCACACCAGTGTAGAGCTAGTTTAATTTGTCACTTAGGGACTTCCTAGGCCTAAGAGAATCTCTAATTTCAGCTCCAATAGCCAGCAAATTTCATTTACTTGATCTCCGGATTGCTACTGGCATTCAAAATAAGTAAGAACAATTTTCACTCCAAGATGAGCTTGAAGATGGCTCAAGAAGAAAAGAAAGACAAACATCTGTTTTTATTTTTATGGGAAATAATTTTGAAAGACATCTTACTTGACGTACATTTAAGAGATATAATAAAACATGAACTTCTTACTGGGTCTTTTTTGGATATAATGTACATTCTTCTTCAATTCTACAAATACCTAACCAGTCATTCAAATGAAAAATTCACTTTACATGGACAGACTGTACAGTGTGATTTGTGAAAAATGTTGAGCTACTTAAAAAAGCAAACATTTAGGGGTTTTGCTCAAAGGTACGTTACATATGTTCTGAAGATCTTACTCAGGGCTGTTCCTGGATGTGCTAATGACCAAACTGTAGCCCAAGATAAACATGAAATCCTCAGTACTTGGTAGGTGAACTTTTTATTTTGAGCCAAACAGCTGCACTGCTCAGCAAAAGCTGGAAAGTGTCATGATAATTAAAAGTCTCCCCAAATCCTTTAGGAGTAGAGAATTTGATTTTTCCTTTGTCATGAAACTGAACTTTCCCTTCTGACTGATGGAAAATTTAAATCTTTCATAGTACTAATATGGAAAAAACAAACCACAAAATCCTACACACATAATGAAACCCAACAAGATCAAGTACTGTTGCTTGTAAACCCTTTGAAAAAGCACAGTCAGTGAGACATCGAAAACTCTACAGAAAAGCAGAAGTTTGCGTGTTTGTGCCCCCCTGTATCCTTCACATTATACTAATCTGCTCCTACCAATCTACATAAGGTCAGCAGGATGTTTCCTTGAGATTCTTTCTGTAAGGTTAAAGCAGGAAATGGCTTTGTTTCCTTGAGGTGTGAGACTCTATGGTCCAGAAAAAGTCACCTCCTACCCCTCTCAGGACCTAGACACCTCCCCAGAATAGGAATGCTGCAGTGTTTTTCCACATAATGAGAATTGCAGCTAAGCAGGAAAGAGACTTGAACCAGCTCCTTTACTGCCCCACTGCCAGACAGGCCATGCAGATAGCACCTGTATAGCTTCAGAACTGCTGAGCTGAACAGGCATAAGTGGAGGAATCTGGAGATCCAGAGACACGGCAGGCCCAGGGGACAGAAAACAGATGTGGCAAAAGTACTCACAGCAAGCCAGAAATATTACCCGTACTTCGACAGTTTTGTTCAATAACAAATTTCTTATCACTTTGTTCCTCACATATCTATAGTGGTAAAATCAATTACAGCAATGATGAATGAACTACCATTATCCCATGTGATCAGATGGTAATTCTGACATACATACCTTTGCTGAGAAGAAAAGCAGAGGGCCTTTCCAGTTGCTTGCATCATTTTTCCTGCTCTCGTTTTATCCTGAGAACCCTGTGACCGAAGAAATTTCCCCAATTCATTTTCTTCCTGAGACAGAACTAACGAAAAATAAACGAGTGATCAAACATGTAATTTAAAACATTACTAACAGCTTTTAAATTGGCCTAACGTCAAATAGGTTAAGTCACTCCAAAACCAAGCAGCACAGAAGAATTAATTTCATGGACTTTCTGAATTTATGAATCAGAATATTTGATGAGTTTCCTGTATTTAACAAGAACCACTATTTTGTCAGTGCCAAGAGTCAAAAGAAAAAAACATGCTACTTAGTTCTTGAACAAAAATAAATAAATAAATAAATAAATAAAAAATCAAGGTTGGATTACATGGAGGTCCCAAAAGTGGCATAACTGTAGTATCTAATCTGGTCTTTGTTTTTCAAGCTTGATTACTGACTTTTTTTACTACGAAAAATCTAGTAACTTCTGTTAAACAGCATTTATTTTCAAATTACTTTGCAGGACCATTTTTAGAACTCTAGGATTTTTCACATTTTAAATAATACTCTTGAATTTGTATTTTTAAATAAGAGGATAAACAAAAGTATATGGTTATATATTGACATGTTGCCTACTCCCAGTTTGGAACCGTAAGTTTTTATGATCTCAAATCCTTATAAAAACATTTAACGGTGGCCTCATCTAACAGTCTTTCAAAGTGGCTGTCTTCAATAGCACCTATTTGTTTCAGGCTCAATGAGGAGAATGCTCCAATATACTGAAAGACATTTTGAAGTTCTCTTGTCACTCTGGTAAACACTGACAATCATATTGCAGACTCATAGCATACTATGACAGAGTGTGCTGCATGCACATCTTTGTCAAGGAAATTTCACCTGCTATTGTGGAATACATCTGAACTCCAATACACTACTAGTCTGCATTACAATTTTACTCAGTATCCTGAAACATCTTGTCATCTCTCAACCTCTTCTTTGGATAGGCAAAAGAAAAAAGTGGAGAAAATATGTATAAAACTGAACCACAAAAAAGTAAATTTAAAGGTGTTTCCAAAGTTGATTCACTTTTCTAGGCCAGAAACCACAGCAGCAGAAAGTCAAAAATGTTAATGGCAGAGAACTTCTTAGGTCTTTTAATACAACCTGCTGTTTGAAACTTCCAAATGAAGTTCCTGTCTCTCACTAATGACTACTAATTGATGTCCACCTGTTGAAGCCAAGTCAGCATAATCAAATTCATCATAATAGCATGGATCAGTTAATTATAAAACTAGTAATAAGACCAATGTTCTTCATAGTCAATCTTGATAAAAACACAAGAATTCAGAACAGAGTTAGAATTTCTAATGCAAAACAGTTCTGAATTTAGATGGTCCATGTAATGTAATAGAAAAAAAAACTCAAAAATCAAGCTATCCCACGTAACTGTTGCTTTGTATCTCTGTAATATCAAATATAAAACTTAACATGAACTTGGAGATTTATTAACAATTAAGCAAATCTACATTTAGGTGACCACAAGGAATGTTATCTTTAACTAAGGATTAAAGCAGCAGTTCCCCATTTCCATTTTCACTTTTTCACTTGTTAGATGATTCCATACTGCAGATCTCCTTATCATTTTAACAGTATTTGATCATACTTACAACAAATCCTTTTTTGATAAAGTTCTATTGCTTTCAACAGCTCCATACATGTTCTCTGAATTGAATGGAACAGCTGGAATTAAAACAGAGTAAACAAAAAGATTTTTAAGCGTATGCAAGAAACACTGAAGATTAAAACACAAAAAAAGAGCTTATTTTAAATTTTGTTCAAATACTAGGAATATGTATTTTCTTCTTAAATATTGAGTAACCTTTCCCTTTTGAAAGTATATTTGCCTTAATTGTGTATTTTTTCAATCACATTATCCATTGAAACTATATAGACAGATCAGTCAAAACATACAGAAGGAAAATAAAGACAAAAAACATTTTGGAAACAGACCAAACAGTTGATATTCAACCAAAGTACTAATGATTTGTTTATAGTTAATACCTTTTGATACATATGAAGACATACTAACCTTTGTTTTTGAACACCCTCCAACAAAACACGAGGTTATCAAAATGCCTATCTGCAGTTTCTCTGAGACATGTTAAGGGGCAATAAATATACTAAATTTTTAATACCACAAAGGAAAGTGGAACAAATTCATATGATTATACCAACAGTAAAATTTTTTATTTTAAAGTAAACTTCTTACTGTCACAGCTCTGGTTTTCTAGACAAAATGATAAAGCAGCAGTTTCCCAAGAAAGTATAGAAAAAACATCATTCTTGATTAAGTTCTGAGAATGAACAGGAAAACAGAAATTACCACTCCTTTCCGTTCATCTAAAACCTGCAATTTCAACTTCAACTTTGTTATTTCAAGTACCATGCAAATAATAGCAAAATGGACTGTTGGCGCAGTAACTGTCATCCTTTGGCACCTGATTAACCTCCTTATGTATACTAGGACCTTGTCTTTTAAGCAGAGAGCATGACTTGCAGTTGAAAAGCTGCTTAAGTTAAAACTTTTTTTTTTTTTTTTTTTAATCTTGTAAACAAATTAACCTATTTATAATCCCACATGAGGTAACAAAGTGTCCTGTCTGATGAATCTGCAACACAATAACCACAAGAACTCAGGTGTCCATATTCATAAAACACTGTTTCAGCCCCTCTAGCCTGTTTCACAACAATACTTCCCACTTCAAACCTATCATGAAAGCCACATGCATGCCTAGAATCCTCTAAGATATGTCAGTTATCACTACCACAGTTAGTGTACAAATATTTAGGTGTTGCAAGTTTCTTGTACTTCATCATAAACACATTAAAAAACCCAAAAATCCTAATTCAGTGATTTTCTGAGAACAATACAATTGAAATTTAGCTGGACAATAACCCAGTTATTACACTTCAGAAGTCCATTATCTATCTTTTTTTGATTTAGCCAAAGATGTTTAGGCTCTTCACTTTGTAGAACCTTGGCTCTCTTCCAGCGTAGCTGAGGGTACTGACAGCAGGACTGTATTTGCCACTCATTAGGACTCCATCTCCCAGTTACTCTTTAAAGACTCAGGAACTGCCTTTTCTCATGCTCACAAACAGTAATCTGTACAAAAGCCTCAGAGAGCACACTGCACTATGCACCAATTCCTGATAATAAACAAAGGATGATCTCCTGTTTCTCTTGACAACAGAAAAGAGAAAGCCTGCCACCAAAACCTGAAAATAAGATGAGAGATGTCAGGTTTCAATTAAATTTTTGTCTTACAAAAATGCCACTGTATTCCTATTGTCTCCCTAAGTACTTTTGTCCAAAATTGGAAAGGATATTGTACAAAAACAATGATAAAAATCTATATAGATTATCATACAGTATGTATAGGTACATATCTTAGAGACTTGATGGAAATTAAAACATCTTAGAAGTTGTGAGAGAATAGTTATTACTCAGACATTACAAACCTCTAGTTTTGCATCCAGATCTGCATCTGAAGCCACAACATGTTCATCTTCTTTTTTTCCTGTGACTTTTATAAGGGTTTGCTTTGTTTTCCAGTATTTCTGTTGCATTTTGTTAACCACAGATTTTTCTTGGCTTTGAGCATATTGATCATAAAATTCCCTTGGATAATTGCTAAAATATTAAGAAACAAAATAACAGAACTTCAATATGATGCTTAAAAAGTAACTATAACAAACTATATTAATAAATTTCCATATAGAATATGTCATGTATATCTATGCATGTGTATTCTAATATGCATCTCCTCATTATGCATTAGTAACAAAGTTATTAAAGCAGTACAAGTTCCACCAATATTTCCTATCCTTCTTTGGAAAATAACACACTGCATTTAATCTGAACACCTTGGGCACGTAATATTGCCAAATAATCAATTGCTAAAAAATCTTCCCAATGCATTATAGAATAATTTATAGTCCCTTGAATTAAAATTTGTTTTTATACAACTAACAGGAAAGTTCCAAACGGCACTAGTAGAACTGCTATTTTCACGCAATTTAAGCTGTGTCAGGATTTCACAAAGATCATTTAAAGAACATCATGTAAAAATGAAGTTACGCTCTTCATTGTCATTTTTAGAAATTGCATAAATAAAAAAAGAATATTTGTCTCTTTTTCTTTCTCCCCTCTATGGGGGGGAAAGGGGGAGAATTTTTACTGGCAGATGATTCTGCATTGCATTCCTCTAGCAAAACCAATAGAAAAGTATAACATAAACACAAACTGCATATTCTACAATATGTTTAAACCATATGAAGCATAGAAAATACAGTCCCTCAATGAAATCTTGATCTCTTTCAGTAACAGTTATTTCACTATTATTTTCTGCATTAGTATACGTCCTTTCCCTTATTGTATAAATTAAGATCTGCAAAATCACTGCAGCTCATGAGAAATAATTGGCTTGTAAAATGTAATACTAGGAAAATTAAAGTCTTTGGTGCACATATTCCTAAAAAGGGTGGCAGTGCTACCCTACACAGTTACAGTAACTTTAAAAGGAACTTTGTTTGACAGGGATATGCTTCTTGGTTCAATTATTTCTAATCAGTGAATTAAGAGGCAGTCAATCACCAAATGGATGATAAGAAATTTAACTGGAAATGAGCAAAGACAACATTCAAAATGCATACATACACTGCATTTCTTGGCTTTGTCCTCAAATTCTCACAAAAAGAAAAAGGTGTCACTCATTCAATTCTGCCCAAGCACCAGCCCAAATAGCTTCATTTATGAATTTTACTAAGCTTAGAATAAAAGACTTTGGTGCTACAGGACAAAATAAACAATGCATGCCAAACATGACATTTCATATATAGTTCTGCACAATCAAATCATTACACGTACTCTGGCAACTTCAGCCTACCAAATCAGGTCAAATCTATACTGACCTGACTGATATTGCACCTCTAAAAGACAAAATTTACAATACCTAATAAATGACAAGGACATTTAGATCCTTGCCAAATCCCCCTGCATTATGAGAAAGCTGAATATAATAGTTTAACTAGTAAGAACAGTGTAATATTACCTTAAAGAAGAAAATAAATAAATAAATAAAGTAAAATTGAACCAATTATGTGGCAGTACTAAGGCCCTAGCTACGTGCCAGTTGTGTGCCTTCATCTATGCTGCAGCTGTGCAAATAACTGGTATCTCAGTTCACTGGTCAACTGAAGAAAACACCATAATTCATTTGATGTCAACCTCCCTTAATAGCTGCCTTGTTTGAGATCACTGGAAATTCTGATGATATGCAGGGAAGAATAAAAATGAGCTATTAATGCAAGATCACAAAAAAATAGTTCTGGGATTAATAGAGATTCCTGAATTAAACAGATAAAGAAATTGGAGAGAGATGAAGAACGCAATCATCTACCACAGACAAATTCAACTACTAATGTCATTTGGAGAAATATCTGGCTCCTGCTTATTCTTAATGTGATTATACAAGGCTTGCTCATAAATCAGTGCCTCCTATCAGTGCCTTTCAATATGTCAGCCTATGTCTTCAGAGGCGGATGCTGGTGGTATGGCAGTAGAGGTTGTACCTCCCCAGCAATATGCCGTTACATATTGCTGCCATGAGACAGATGGCAGCAGAGAGGCAGTCTGACAAAATAGCATCTGATATGGAAGTGCATATGAAGCAATGGTGTGGAACAGAATTCCTCCATGTGGAAAAATAAGAACATTCAATAACATTCATCGAGTCTATGCTGAATGTTCATGGAGACCAAATAGTGCCTGGTAGTACCGTGAAAGTTGGACTGCATGAGCAACATTTTCCTATCAGTAACACCGTCATAGCAGTAGCAAAATCTCTGCTGGGGCAGATTTTTAAGAGCATGGCATGCAGGTGCTTGTTCATCTCTGGTGAAAATGCAGAGCTATTGGTGGTGACTGTGTTGAGATCTAGTGTTTTATAGCTGAGAATTTGCTCAATCAAATAGCATTATTATGTTCTTTGTTATTTCCATGGAAATAAACAGGAAGCATTACTTCCAGAGTGATCTACGTAAAGCTTTCATTATCTAATGAAATATTTAGTGGATAATTTTTATTGGTAGGCTTTTGTCAACATCTTTTAAAATTTTTATTTGGATTTCATGTCAAACAATCACAGGTATACTTAGGTTTCACTAAACAATGAGAAAAATAACTAAAAGAATGATCTAGTTTTATTTGGTTGTTGATAACAGATACATCTCTTGAAATAAGATGGCATATATACTTCCTACCATTAGGTAGGAAATTTTTAATGCATACAATTTTTAGCTTTGTAGTCAATTCACTTGTTTTTCCATTCTTCAGGAAGTTGGCAGTTTATCACTTTCTGTTTTTATTCTTTTTAAATAAAATATCTACTAGCAATCATATAAATACTAGATGCCAGAACATAACGCACAATAGACTCGGGCAGTGACAAATCAGCACACCAAACACCATTACCTCTTTAGAATAATAAAAAAATGATCAAGGCACTTACTACTTATGACCATCCATGCTTCTTATTTTCTTCAGACGCTAAATAAATAAGAAATTATCAGTTAATACAAATATCTTTAAAATACAATTCTCACATTAGACAACAGAAACATTGCTTTTCCACACCATGTTGTAGCATCTTGCATATCATGTTATGACAGAAGATTTTTCCATTTGCAGACCAAATGCTTTCCTCACGTAACACACAATTCTCACCTGCATCTATGGCACACACATTTAAGTGGTGTTGCTGACTTTTATATTTTAGCAACTCTTCCAAACAAATAAGTTTACCTGGCATAAATTAAGCAATTTTTGACTCAGCAAGCCCAAAGTTTACGTTAGGAATAATCCTCAGTAAACTTTTTTTTCCCCCTAGAATTTTAGTCACAATGCAGTTCAGCTACTTGTTTCACCAATGCCCTGCTGATCTACTTTTGAGAAAAACTAGCTTCGTCGTGTCTTGAGCCATGGATGTGAAATCTAACCACCAGACAGTTTTTCTCAGAAGGGCACCATAATTCCAGTAAATGAAATATGATTTGCATGTGTTTAGATTTTAAATTTTAGAAGTTAGTATTTCCAGTTTGGATACTCAGCGAGCTGTTCAGATGGCATGCACATCATTAGTAATGGAGCACACTCCTCCTAGGCGAAATTTACAAATCAAGCCAGACACTTCTTGTAAAAAAAAGAGAAAAAAAAAAACCAACAAAAACATAACAGAAAACAGCACCTGGCATCTCCTCTGTTACTTCCAGAGAAGACTCTCTGGCACTAATCTGGGAGAGAATGAACAGGGACTACAATGGGGAATCATGATTGGCAATATAGCTAACAAGGTACTGCCTGAAGACAGTATGGCAAGCACTGAAATGAAATGGGACTGGCACAGATTGCAGGGATTCGGACACGGCTATGCAAACCTGAGAACTTCCTGCAACTGTGAAGCACATGTACTCCCATTTGCAGCCAAACAGAGCCAAATCTCAGATTTTGGATTCTAGCCTCTCTGTTCTCTGTACCTGTGAAACTTCCTGGCGAAGTTCCATAAGATGCTGGAAGATTATAACAGAGCAGGATATTTTCCTGAAATTGAATTTTTGTGAAGTGCTCATAAGCTGCAGGAGAGATGGTGAGAAAATTCATAACCCCTGCCTTCCAAGCAGAGCTAAATGGTAAGGTCAATGACCAAAAAACAGAGAGGAAGAAAGAACTGCTTTGGATTACTGTTTGTCTTACAGCACTGTCATGTCAAACATCATGAAGAATGGACAGCAACAGGCATGTCTTTGCTTTAGTTTTTACGGAGTTACAAAGCATAGACAATGTTAATTCCAGTTTTCTAACAGCTGTCTCGACTTTATTGTTTAAATACAGGTACTCCTTAAGTCAACATGTGCAAGAGATAGGAACACAGGATTTGGCTTGATTACACACCCATGACTCAGTTATTGAGCAGCATGCTTGGTTTAACAGGAAGCAAAGAACAACCTATCCAGGTAAAATGATACGCACACGATATGGAACAAAGCGTAGCTATCAACAAGGGGAACAGGTCTAAGGCACTGACCTTAAATACTGTACACACTCACCTTACTCTCCTAGAAACCAGCAACCTTAAAAAAAAAAAAAAAAAAAAAAAAAGAAGAGATAAGGTGACATTGAATTCTCATTTTGCAAGCACAGCTCACATTCTTTTTTCCTGAATATCTGACCTTATATTTGAATCTGAGGACTTTCCAGCTGCATTCCAAGTCCTACATCACACCTCTATGCCCTTTGTGCAGTATTTTTGTAGTTTCAAGTGCCTGAAAACTGTGTTAGTGGTATGAAAATGAAGGCATGTGCTTCTGGACCCACTGTGTGACATGAAGGCACATAAGAAGTTTGAAGCTTCAAGGCCTGATGAGACAGTTTCATATGGCTGTGTAGGGTGGAGTCTTACCTATACTGGCTGCTATACTCCTGGCATGCAGTATCACTCAAATCACACTGAGAGAGAAGGGTCCCAGAGACCTCTAGGTGATATAGACATAAGCCTGCCAGAGAGATTGCAGCAGCTCAACAGCGGGAACCAAAAGCAGCACACTGCTGAAGCTCAGTCCTTGGGTCACTTTTATTTCCAATGCAGAATCAGCTTTTGGTATGAATGAGTATTGAGGTTGTAGGGACAGCTCAGTGAGTGCTGGCCTTGAGTGAAAACAGCTGTAGTTGCTCAGAAAGAATCACGTGATTTTTGACTGAGTTTGTGGTTTATCACCTATAATATCCATCACAAAGAGTTCCTTGATACCATTCATTTCAGATGTTGCTCAAGGAACTTTCATAAAGAAATCAGTTATGTTTCAGCTGAGTTTCACTTCTCTCACTGGCTGGAAAACCAGAACGTCTGCTACAATTCTGCAATTCTTTTAGCTGTTAATCGAGACCACAAAACTGCACTTAGATTGGGCCCCATGATCTTCACTTACACAGAACTTGTTACTTGTTAGTTAGATACACTTCTGAGATATTTACAGGACTGCATACTAATTTCATTTCATGTTTTAGCATCACAGTTTAGCTTTACTGAGATGAGAACAGTATTAATTAACACATTAAAAGACATTAAAATAAACAAAAAGGAAAACATAGGAATATTTACTTGTGCTGGACGTAGCTGGATGTAGTACTACAGGAATTCTTGTGTTTGTTATCTGAGTGCAACTGCAAATGTACTTTCCCTGAGAACTGCAGTCAAAATTAACTTATGTCTTCATGTACTTTCAAATATAAAGCAGAACTTAATTTGCCACAGGAAAGTTGACTTGAGAGACTCTTAGACTAAAAAGTATTTTGGTAAACAATATTATGCTGACCTGGAAAAAAAATAGCATCCATCACCCCACTGGAAAACATTTCATTCAGAAAGTTTCCATTACCTTTAATGATAAAGAGCAGTGTAACATTCATTATCTCTGTGAAAGACATCTAACAAAAGATAGGGACACTCCGAATAATACGGAAAAAAACAGCAGCAAGCATAGGTGTTACGGATCTGATGTCTTCTTCACACTGTGCTCATTCTAGAAGTGCTACCTAGTGTTTTGAGACACACAGATGCTACCTCAGCTTCAGTTTTAAACCTAAGCCTGGCCTGATCCACAAGGAATCTACCTGGAAGACAAGGGATCACAGTGCTGGAACACCCATCTCTGTACAGAGCCGGGCCCTATTAGCCCTGCTGAACCCCTAAAGTTCCTCACTGGCCCTGAAAAGCTACAGGAGGCCTCAACACTATGTTTCGCAATCCCCTGCATGTGGACTGGCATCAGAAAGGCCTGCATCCTGGCAGCTTGGGCCTGGCACAGTCACTGGCTTGGATGCTGAAATAGCACCCAGCTGTTTCTAAGTTCAGCCTGGCTTTGGAAGGAGCATAGCTGCGTTCACACTGCATGCTGCCAGAGCTAACAAGGCGTGCTGGAACCAAGGTTGCCCTGCATGCAGCCAGCCATGGCATCTCTGCATCTGTGGTGGTTTGTCTGGGCTGTAGGCTATTTACCCACAAAGTATTTACACAAGTAGCCAAAACGGTTGGAATGCACTAAGAACTTTATAATATTGCTGGCCTACTGCATCACACTGCTTTCCTACACGATATTTTAGTAGCCATGTTGCTGGAAGGAATTCACTTGCAAATGGTGCTCCTGTTCCACATGATAAATGGAAATCCATGGAAAATTCTGTTTCTTTCACCCTCTCAAACCATTTCAATAGATCGCCAACACTCTTCTCTGCAAAAAGGAAACTGCTAGCTTGATGTTTCGAATAATTAAGTCTTTAGCATTCCCTAAGATTCCCCTCCATTCCATGCTCTCTGTGTGCCTGCCTTGCTTCTCTTTTTCAGTTTTATTTTACTAGTGTTTGCTGCAGCATGGGTTATCTGGTTTCCCAAGAGCTGAACAATATTATCTATTATATTAACATTACTCAGAAACATTTAACATTCACTGGAAAAGAAAAATTAAGAAGCATCATGCAGCAAGGTGAAATTCAGATATTAATGCTCTTTCAGTTACGTGGAACTTTAAATAAATCTTTTCTGCCCATTCAAACATCTGTTCTCTGCTGAGCATTGCTTACGTAGCTCTTATACTAATCCTCAGTCAACAGATTCTATAGGAGAAAGCAGGAAGCAACAAGAGACCACAAACAGGAATCTTTCAACCATGAAGACTGAATCTAAAACAGTGGGGATTCAATCACAACTTCTTAGAACTAAGAGATGACCTCAAATCCTTGCACAGCTGTTACAAGTGCTGATCTAAAGACGAAATTTAGCATTTAAAACTGACCTAACATAGTTACACAGGATGGCAGTTAATTGAACAGTATATTCTTAGATGCATCTAGAAGCAAAGGAATGAAAGAACAGAATGAGAGGCAGAGCAGAATTCAGCAAGCCTGATATGATGTGCCCATGAGAAAGGACAGATGGGTTTGCACTTTTACTGATAATCAGCACTATGCTCTCAGTTTACTGTCCTCTCAATGCAGCTGAAGTGTTCTGAAGGTTTTCTAGTTCCATCAAACTCTCCACACTTTAAAGTCCCCATGCCTTATAAGTACAAACATGGAAGAAACATGCATTGCAGTTGATTCACTTAAGCATTTGTATTAAAACAGTAATTTCTCAATAAACTTTTAATAACTATAATTTGTACAGTACCACTAGACAACAACAAGAGAAAACAAAAACAAAAAATTGTTTGGAGTTCTACATGCAAAAGAGTGTTAGTTTCATTTATGTAAAATAACCCAATGAGAAGAAAATCTGTGATCTGCTTAGGTGAGGGAAGCAATATCATCTGTGCTCTTCAACAGCTATTGGCTGACAACCTGTCTCCTCTCCTCTGCTCCCTGAGAGCTGTGATCAAACCGAATCAAGGAAATGGGTCTTTCACTGCAAAAAGAAGCTTAGGCAGGTCCCAGTTCTATCTGTCTACAAACACACAGACCCAATGAGTCAGGAGCTTCAAATCATGCATCACTTTGCCTTTTGCAAGCAAAATCAAACAGAGTGGCCTATGGCTCTGAATTAGCCACATTGTCAGCACATGGAAACAGCAAAATCTGGGGGTCAGGGTCTATATAGGCACTCAGCATCAAGATTATACATAGCTAGACTTATAGTTATAATTATTTGTCTGACCGCATGACTAGCTGCCACTGAAACTCAGATAAAATAAGTTAATGTTGATATGACAAATGACAAGATCTAATTTTTCCTCTAAAGCTCTTAACACTCACCACTGATGTTCTAATCCTGCGGAATCATCCACGCTTAGCTTTAAATCCGCACTTTCATTCTGTTAGTCTACTTACTGATGCATTTATTTACTACTTCAGAAAGTTTGCAGAACTGTTGTGCAAGTGTGGCACTAGAGTTTCTCCCATCCACTACAACTTTTTGCCTATTCCTTTGCCTTCAGATACATCTTATGTACTATCCCCAACTTCCCAGAAGAATCTGCAGTCTTATGAGGGAGAAGATGTATAAACACAATTACTCCTTCAATCCACTTCAGGAGCTGACATCTAAAAAGATGTTGAATGCATTTGTAACAGAAGTGCCAGGAAGCAGCATGCTTTACACAGAAAAGGACTGCTGATGTTTTCCAGCACCTGAGTGGTTATGAGAGTGAAAGAAATTCATGCTGTTTAACCCCCACATAATTGGGGTACAGTACAACTCTAAACTTCTGCACAGACCGCTAACAGAATCTCCAAGGAGCAACTGGGAGCAATCAAACCAGAACCCTACTGCTCCCTGAGCAAACAGAAATGGTAGTTTCTGACCTGGCACGCAAACTACATGGCTAAGTCATACAGAAAGAATGCTGCTCTACTTGGCTTCTCTTAGAACTGGGGTTTCATGATGGTCAGTCAAACCATCAGGGAAACAGATTGGCCAGCACACTGATTAACACTGTGCATGGGACATGGCACGTGATGCGAGTCCACTGGAACCAATTTTCTCTTTCATTGCAAACACTTCTGAAACTAACACTTATTGATATGATTTACTCCATTTCCTCTTTCTCTCTATGAGGGTTACAAAAGACTGACAAAAACTTAACATTTCATTTATGCGTTTGTCTTGATCCGTTAAGATCTCAAGACAAGAAATACTACCAACACAACTAGACATGCAAAGCAAACCAACCAGCCAACAACAGCGCACTCAAAATAGAAACTGGAGCCCATTTTACGTTTAGTTGGAGCCTACATAGCACTCTTTGCTGTCTTTTTCAGGCTGATCAATTGCAGGGAGAACAAGCCACAGTAACAAAAGTGGGCACAATAAATGACCATGATTCTGTGATTAAGGATTTGAACCATCAGAAGTCACACATAAGGTATGAAGAGATCTGGAGGTCTAGATCTTCATTTTTTAGCAATGCCTGGGAACCTATCTGCAAACAACAGACCCAGCAAAATTAGCAGAACTATTAACATTAAGTATGTAATGACCCACCTTTCACTATGCATTAAGCTGATTGTTAATAATTTCTACACAAGGCAGATGACCAATAGGTACTTCACTGAGTACTCTAAGAGTTACTTTATTCTAAAAACAATTATTATGCTTCTAATATGGAATAATTATTGCAGAACGCACAATTAAAATAGGAAATTACTCTGCTTAGTTTCCTGATGCAGTCAAAATTGAGGATGACAGCCAGTGCCTCATTTCTTTTGTAATCATTTGAATTTTTTTATTTCTCTATTCTCAATACGTATAATTTACTAGAAGACAGTTGTGGATAAATACAGTAAATTTGCACGTTAGAAGTTTACCATGCACTAATACCCTGAAATTGAGTATAAATATATCTGAGCTGCACTGCTTTCTGGTATTAAGAGTTGCCAGAGATAAGTTTCAACTGACATGAAGATGTGAAAATGTGACAATATCACTGAGTTTTTTAAACCTATTTTTGCTCCCATGTGAGTGCAAGGACCAGATCAATTGCTATCATTCCTCCTTTTTTTTTTTTTTTTTTTAAATATTGGTACTATGTGCCTGCGAACTATACCAAAGAGTATTAAGCCATAAATTTACAGGCATGGGTAATCTCCATCTTCTCAGAGCACAATATATACAGAATTGAAAAACAGAGCTGCTTTTTTGTTTTTTTAACAACTGAAAAATAAATTCTTAGAAACAGTGTTTTATCTCAAAAACATAAGAATGGTAACGTGTAGTCACAACATGGTACATGTAGTCTCAGAGCAAAATATTTCAAATAAGTGCTATTTGACTCACAGTTGGCTGATCAGCAAGTAAACAACAGTCCTTTCCAGATAAACTGCGCACAAATCTTTCACTGTTTATATACAGAAAGACATAGATATTTAGACACACGTAAAACTCATTTTAAACCACTTCTGATTACACTGATTTTTCAGAAGCTGTTTGTGAAACAATACAAGAACAGCAAATAGTATCAGCTTGTCCTCAGGCAACAGCCTGAGGTTCCACTTGAGTGGAAGCTTCCACTTGACTACTAGTTTTCCATTTATATTTGCGAGAACACTGAGCAAAGAATGTCCTTAGAAAAGAACCAGGTAAGTACTGTAAATAAGTATTGTATGTGTCTCATGGAAGAAGTTGAGTAGTGGGTCTAACATCACTCTGCCAATGAGCAAAACTGGGGATATATGCAGTCCAGTATTTAATCTCACTCTAAACGCAGATTCACTTCATTTCCCTGAAATTATTATCCAATTGTTTTGTAATATGCATTTGTTCTTCTAGCTTTAAAGTGATATTTTTAAATTTAGTGGCCAAATACTATTAAAGAAAGTGCCATATGGAACACCTGCTGTGCATAGTTTATAAAAGACAATATGAAGACAGTTTCTCTGACACGTTCTACCCATAACCAGTCTAGAGTGTTAATGTTAGGAACCCTTCCCTTTGTAGAACAGATGGAAAAAGCAGAGGATGTACAAAAACTCACGAAACCTTTTTCACACCTATGCTGTCACAAATATGGTTCTAAAGTTCAAACCAACACCTCTCTCATTTAGATGCCCTATTTGCTGACATCGTCAACACTCAAGAGTCTGCCTCTTTCTTTCCTTTTCATCAGTGCAGATGTCAGGAAGCAGTGCTATTATACCTGAGGGGAAACAACGCAAGGGTAGAGAACAGGAAAAATAATCTTCTCTATAATTCCTCACGAGATCTTTTCACTTCAGTGGTAAGAAATTTGATTAACAAAACAGGTATAGCATGCATAGCAAAACAAGAAGAGGCGATCTTCTTCCACTACACTTTGAGTCAAGACCACGATCAATACAGTCTGCATATCCCTGACAGATGCACAGCCCTCTCAAACTGTGCTTTATTGCTCTCAGAGCCTGGCACACTTGCTGAATGTTTCCCAAGCAGCAGTGATGCCTACGAAGCTACTCACAGGATGGACCTGGGCACTGTTTCAGTGACTGGGAACAGACAGTTCCCAAGTTGACGTAAACGCTTGCATAACCGGTCAAAATGCCCCTCGTTTTGCCATGGCTTACAATAGCCGCAGGAAAAGCTACTGTGAGACTACTGCTAGAAACATGCAAAAGGTCAAATGTCTCCACTGCTCTTGACTACACGGTTCTTTGTTTAACATTCTGCACTCTCCAGGCTTTTGTATTTTAATGCTTCTACATCCCACGGCATAATTGTGTCTTTAAAGTGATTTTATAGTTAAGCAGCTGCAAAACATCCTGAAGAACCAACTTCAGAGCCATGCTGCTGGAGAAGACTTTGAAAAAAGTATGAAAGAGTCTTTGAGGATATTTCTTGATGTTTAGCATTAGCTGAGATACAAGCACATTTTTCTGCCAACTCATACCAAAAGCTTTCAGCACCAGTTTAAGAGTGACAAGAGCTGTTATTATTCTGCTCTTCCAGAAAATGTTACTTGGGAAATCATTAGAACAATTTAGCAGGCTTGTAAAGGGTGCAGAACAGAAGAATGGGCAAGACAGGCATACTTGAGACTACTAAAGGGGAAAAAAAAACCAAACAGCCCTGTAATAGGGTTCAAATGGAATTTTACTTTGCAATATGTGACTCTCAGCCTCTACTTCCTACAGTGATATAATCTTATGAAAAAAAAAAAAAAAAAGTGTAAAGAACTAATTCTCCATATGGAGAACTGATTTTCTTGAATTTGCAAAATTTTAGTAGTATGTATATCTGAATCTCAGTTCTCATGAAGACAATGGAGGAAATATCTTTCATCTAAAAACACTTCTTTCATTCTTAAGAAGCAGGCAAATTCCAGTTGCAAGCAACCGACTTTTCACTACGCTGTCTTTTGAACCCTTCTGGAAATAACTTTCACATATGAAGCTTAAACAGTAAGGTAGCTTTAAACAAGATCTGACAGCATTTAACTGCCACATCACCTTCAGATAAAACTTGCCATGGGAAAAACACAACTGGTTTTACCAGTTATGGCACCTCACTACACAAGAGATCCCCATAGCTTTACGGTAAATTCCTTTTGTATCAGTATTAGCATAAATCTCAAATCATAAAGTCACTAAGGTTAAACCAGTAGGCTAATAGGGTATTCAAAACGTTAACGTCTAAATGAGACGTTCCTAGACTTCATGCTAAATACTAGAATCAAAACTGCAGCTCCTCAGCTAGTGCCAGGAAGAAAACACTATCAGAAGGAACTTCCACTCCCTGGAACTCTGAATAGAGTTGAAAAAGAGTAGATTAACAGGGAAATCAGGTGAAAGACCATAAACAAATCCAGCCTACTACTTTCTCTGCCCAACGCTTTGGAAAAGTGATCAAACACTTTCAACAACAGCCTTGTTGGACCAGAACAGCTTACTTTCACAAAGTTTGCTCTGGAACAAGAGCAAGTCCAAATTAAACTAGATCCAATTAGCACAAAACTCAAGGAGGAAGATATACGAATAAAACATAAGGAAAACAAACAAATGAAAAACCTGAACAGGTGTTTCCCAGAAACAAATTATTGGCTTGCTCTACAGCAAGGCTTGTGGATAAAGGAAAATGGTAGTTAACCAAACAGAAGAACAACACTCACACCAAGCTCCAGAATATCAACACGGTGTCATCTGGGACAGGGGACTCCACGGTGCACCTCTGAGATTGTCTTTCTCAGCTATAAATCAGAACTGGATGCACTGAGGCAAAACTGAACGCTCAAGGACTCATACAGGCCCTGAGCCCACAGCACCAGGTGACAGGAGACTTATTTACACTTGGTGCTGAATGTGTACACAGCACTACAAGCTAAGAAAAGACCACAGCACCCTTTACACTCTCCTCTTACTAAAAACTGATTAACTAATTTTCTTCTTTTTATTCTAACCCAATGTATGAGATTGACAGCACTCACACACCAGTGTGATGGATGCAGGTCTGGTTATCGAGATCAAACAAAACAAGCTCCGAATGAGAAGTATTCTGTTACAATTATTCCAGTGTCACCAGCTGTAGGTGCCCGCTGTGCACCTGACCCTGCGCAGGCACCAGAGGCACGGCCCCGGGGTCACAGTGGCGGGCAGCCCGAATTTTAACCCGGCAGCAAAGCCGGAAACCACGGAGCAGAAGCGGCCGTTTTCCTCCCCATCCTCCCCGCTTCCAGTGGGCACCGAGCCAGGGAGGATGTACGGGAGGAAGGGAGGCAGAAACGGATAAATGCAATAATCACGATGAGATAACCGCCTGGCGGGAGGGAGGGGGAAGATGCCATCTTGCACCTCGCCGATTTTAACCCGGAGGGCACCAGCGCCTCAGGCCTGGCCGCCGCGTCGCCTCCTTCCCCCCTGGGCGGGCAGGCGGGCAGGCAGCGGGGGGAGGCTGCCCGCCACCGGCAGCAGCCGGCGGAACCCGTTTCCCCAGCAGGTCCCAGCGCGGAGCCCGGCGGGGCCCCCTTCTCCGCACTCACCTTGCCCGCGGCCGAGGAGCGGAGGGCAGGGCCGAGCCGGAGGCACCGCCGCCACCCCTCCAGGTGTTCCAGCGCCGCCGGCGTCACGGCGCGGAACGGAGCCGCCTCTGCCAGCCCCGCAGCGGGGCGGAGTCGCGCCGCCACCCGCCCAGCGGCCGAGGCGGGAGGGCGGTGGCTGCCCGGTGCTGGCGCCTGGGCCGGCCGGCCGTTTCCTGGCGCTGGGATCGGCCCGGCGCGCTCTTCCTCCTCCGTCCCGGCTGCGCCCGGAGGGAAGGCGGAGGGAGGGGCTCACGGGCTGGGTCCGTCGGGGACTCTTCACAGCGCCTCGGCTGAAAAGCGAGAGCCTCTCCTCGCCGCAGCCTTCTGGGGCTGTGGGTACCGCGCGAGGTACGACGAGGAAATACTGAAAGGTGGTGACTGGCAAAGCCGCCAGTCATCAAGGGAGTGGGATGGTCCTCCGGGGGAGGAAACAGGTGGCAGCCTTGGGACGGAGAGTGTGGGTTGTGGGATGGGGTCAGAAATGGGCTAGTAGGGATTTTGGAGTGGGCTGCTTCAAGTGAACTGGATTTGAAGCTGAAGTCTGAGCCTAACATGAGGGGAGAAGTTGAGGTGATGCTTGAAAACAGGCTGAATAGTTGGTAGGTAAAAGGAGAAACAAGGGAGCACCAAGAATGCAGGGGGGGAAATACCCCTCTGAAATGGGGCATCTTTAGCTGCCTTGAAGAGATCTGTGAGTTCAGAACAACAGCAACAGTGGGAACAAGAGTGAGGAGGCAAGGTAGAATTGGTGGGGGCCGAGGAAGGGGGTAAGGAGAGGATGAGAGGAGAAACCAAAAGGAATGGAAATAAGGATGCTGATGGGAGGAAATACCTGCTGAACCTTACAGTGGCCTGAAGCTTTTGTGTCAGCATCTTGGTGTTTCTGTGAGGTGTAGCTGAACCACTGTTGGGAACCATATGTCTAGGTGTAGAAATGCAAAACCTACAGCAATAGAACTCACTGTCAGATAGTGATGGTTGTGTAATCTGAGGAGTTCCAAGCCAGGCATGGAAGGTTGCAAGTTTCCCCCCCTTACTCTGGTCAGAGCATGGACAGCAGATTATGTCTAAATGAGGTGTTCATAACATAGTGTGCTGGCAAACTGGTGTACACAAAATAGTGTGCTGGAATGGATTTCTGACAGGAAATAATGTTGTTGCTTTCCAGAACTGCAGAAACCTCAGTTGAATAGCCTTTGTGTTTGTATCAGTAATACTGAGCAAATAATTTCATAGGAAGTGAGTTTCTTAATGGCAGTCTCAGTCTTGAAGAAGAAGGTATACTTTTGGCATACTGTCTCGTATGCTTTCAGACATCTAATTTCTGTTTATATTTTGTATGGTAGACAGTATTAGCTGTGCTGATCATCCAGAGCTTTTTAGATAAAATGCAGGAAAATAAGGCATTTTTTGAGGTGTAGTTTATCTGTCTTTAGTTAGATGAATTTAGTCATTCTTTGGACTGGAATTCCCATGGGAATGACAAGGCAACAGGCTAAGGTGTATATACTTTCATTACAGGCATTACCTATTTAATCGTATTAATTCTTGTTGTTACAGTTTAGGAGAAGAAACTATTCACAGAGTTACTAATGAGGGATGAAAAGTCTCTCTGCCATGGGTGAGAATCTGAGATAACTTCAGCAGGATTTGGCATTGTTATTTAGTAATTTTTGCTCATCATCAAACACAAGAGAACTCTGTGTCTTTTAATGCAGTTTATGTGTGCAAACCACCCAGACTGTAAAAGGGTGGAAAAAATAAATCTCACTGCATGTGAAGTAAATAACTTGTTACTTACCAAGATTCAAAAGAAGATTTTATTTGGTAAATTTAAATGTAATATTTTTGTTAGGTGCACCAGAGTGAGGAAGGAAGGCAAGTAGTCCTGGAAAATCCTTGATTCTGAAAAACATACTTTTATAATTTAGGAACTATTTTATGCCAGCAGTTGTGTATGTGTATGAATATATCTAGAGTGGGGGTTGTAGATTGGCTCATTTCTGTTTACATGAGGCTAGCATTTTGCAAGCTGCAGATACTTCTGGAATTATCTGTCTTAATCTTTTAAATTATTTTCTGAGATCACATTATAAAATTAAACAATTAATTTTAAATCTGTTTTCTTTATGACGTAAGCATTTCATAGTCTTTTAGAATGTTTCATATGGCTTATCCCTAGACATGAATGTTATAAATGTAAGCAAGTGCCATCTGGTTGTTCTAGCACCTTTCTTATCTCCCATGGAGATATTTTTAGTGCAGCCGAAATACAGAAAAGAGTTACTGCAAATGATGCATGAAATAAGGTTTACCCACTAATTTTCACAAACTTTGTTCTTTAGCAAAGCTGGATGAATACATAAAAAACCCTGAAGCACAGTGCTACGTGAATTCTGTTAACATTTTTTCCCATTGGAGCATCAAAACGCTCTTGTTGTTCACCTCAACTAAACAATTGATCCACTGACCTTAAAAAAAAAAAGTCTGGACTCACCATTTTTGCTGATTTGTACAACACTATATTCACTTGCAAACTGATTCCCTGAGCAACACTGTGAAAATTATTGGAAGATGCAAGTAAAGTACAGCCCTCTGATGTATCACTATTGGCCACACCAAAGTTGGAATGGTCGTGGTTTACTGGGAGACAGCCAACCCTTCCATCTTGCAAACCTAGAGCTTTTGTAAGGGTGAACTAAAATAAATATTAACCCACTTCTTGTAGGATCTTTTATATATCTAAGCCTTATGTTACACTGTGTCCCAGATGCATTTAATTTGTAAAAGGATAAATAAAGTTTGGAGTCATATGTTGAGTCAGTGACACTCACCTTCCTGTCCTTTTTACTGTATTTCTTTGCTACTAAAGCATACCATAAGGTCAAGCTCATCACTGAATTTGTTGTATTCTAACTGCATCTGCATTCAGTGTTATCTATACAGTATAATCTTACAAACACGCAGGTTGTTTTTTCTCCAGATGATGACCTAAAAGATCCCTTCCAACTCAGGCAATTCTATGAATTAGTTACTTATGAAATCTATGTAGAATCAGATATCTAAGAAACGACAGTGAAAGTTGCTCATCTTTCCTGACCTAACATCGTTAGCTGGTGGTTGAACTCTCACACTTGCCATATTTTTAAATCTTTCTGTAACTCTTCATTTACCTTCTGGTTCTCATCCGCACAAGGAAGAACAAACATTTCACGCTGCATTCTGTGAAACTATGCTTCCCTTAAATACCCTATGGTCCTTTATATGAATGTTTTTGCTCTTTTCTGTGATCTCTCATCTGTCTAATAGTCTTTTGTGTTGACAAACTGCTTGCAATGTCTGGAACATCATTGCTGTTTATAAATGGCATTTCAATCTCTAATCTGTTTTCAAATTTCTTAGTAAAATGTATCTATCCAGTTTAATCATGCTTAATTTTTCAGTTAGCCTTCTGCTTTTCTGTATTAATTTCTATAGTTAGATAATTTAGCTCTGTAGGGCATTTAATGTGCATTTTTTGTGTGCCAGCCCTGTAGATAAAAGGCCAGAAAAAAAGTACAGCACATTCATTTGAGCAGTAGTATCATGAATGGTAGAAGCCAGCACATACAGGAAGAGCTTCTGGAGTGTATTAAGTTCCTACTTAGAAACAGAGGCAAATGTAGACCAATTCTAGTCATCAGTTGAAGAAATTATGTAAGGTAATGTAAGGACTACTTGACCACTTCTATCTGTGGCAAACAGGATTACAGCTTAGTTATCTGCTGAAAACCTTTATCCTATTGGCAGCTTCAGAGATCACATAATTATTTGTTCCCATTTCATAAACTGGAAAATACGTACTAGGATACTGATGTCCCAGAAATGATTAGGAATTAAAGGTTGGAGTGATGCCAGCATCTCTGAAGTTCAGAGTTGGACCCAAATTCTGACAAATAGAAGAGGGTCAGCCTGAATAGTACTTTTCACAGTGTTTAGTAAGCATTACTTTCCTCTACTTCTGCAGGCTTAACATGGAACAGGTGTGAGCACAGGGATTTGCCTGCATTTTTCTGCATGAAGGATTAGTTCCACACTAGGCACCGTCCAAAGTCCTAGCTTTTAATGTTGCTGAAATGGAGATTAACGTAGGTATTCTTTCATGTAATTCATGATCTCTGAGGTGTATAATACTTCCATTTCCTCTTGTCTGACAATGAGCATTGTTGTTATTGTACTTTATTATACTATCCTACACTGATACTTGTATAGTTGTCATTAACAAACTCCTTGAATCTCCTCGATGTATCCATGAGAATTTTTCCATTCAAAATAAAAACTCTTGAAACAATTAAATTATTGAAATATTTTTGTCCATTAAGAATATAAGTCACATCATTTTTGAAGGCCTACTGGAAATGTTTCATATGTTAGGCGAATAAAAATCTACTAAAAAAACTCTAACAGCTGTTGTGCTAGGAGTTGTAGACACTGCATGCTTTAACAAGTATGAGAATAATTCTGTGTCAAAAAATAGTTTGCGACATAAACTATTGCATGCAGCAACAGAGTCTGATGTACTTTTAACTACTATGTTCTTCTATTATAAAATTCTTCTATTATAAAAGGTATACCAATTTAATTTTCTAGAAGAGATATCTTTAAGAGATATTTGTTACCACTTAATACTGTGGCTTGTTATCTGAAATTCCTACTGAGAGCATCCTCAACAATCCAAACTGCTGTTCATTTGAAATATTTTAAATCTTCCAAAATGTATTAGTGTTCAATTTTGTAAAGTATTTTGAAATCTGCTTGAAAATGAATTAAAATGAAATCATTGTGCTTGAAAAGCTTTGCCACGTGTGACAAAGGATTCTTAGTGTTAAAACTGAAGTAAAACCAGACATCATGTAATCTCGAATTTGAACTGGTTGTATTATATTCTCCTGTGCTGTATAATCTCCGTGCCCTCCAAGGCAGTCTCATCTGGCTGGTCAAAGATAACCACATTGAGATAGATGTTTTTCAGTTAGAAGAGGATAGATGACATACTTTATGTTATTTT